CATTCACATAATCAGGTTAGGAGCCAAATAACCTTTGCAAGGGCCAGGGATTTAGCTCAGTGGTTGTGCCGCCTGCCTCGCAAGTGAAAGGTCCCAAGTTCGAGTCCTGGTACCAAAAAGAAAAAGAAAAAAGTACAGGGCTGGGGATTTATCTCAGTGATTTTATCGCCTGCTGTGCAAGCACAAGGACCCAAGTTTGATCCCTGGTACCAAACAAAAAACAAACAAACAAAAGATAGTACAAGTAACCTTTGCAAGATCCCTAAAAGGTCGGTAATTGTCACCTACCAGACCCAGAAAACAGCGCTAGGGCAAAAGGTAGCATTAGAGCACCACCTAGTGGACTTTAATGGCAACTACAAGTAAACTCAAAAAAGCTGTAGAATGGGTTTTTTTATGAAATCTAGTTTATATTTAAGAAATATACATGCCTATTAATAAATCGCGAGACCCCATCCACCACCTAAAAGATAACAGCTCGGTGGCCATTCTTAAAACTTGGGGGACAGATTTCACTCAGACGTTCCAGGTCAATCCTTCTCTATGCTCTAGAGAAAATGCTGAGCCTGCTCTGCCTCAGTTTCCTTTCTGGTCTGATCCTCCACTGGTGAGGAGACCATCTTCATTCTTGAGATTCCCTATTTTTGCCTTTCCAGGGTGAGATTGATGACTCGGGAGCAAACTGTTGAAACAACTAACTCACCGTGAACCTGAAAAGACTTCCTTTCCTGGTGTCTCCAATCTTCCTCTGCCACTCTGCCCTTCCCTTTTAGAGGAGTGTAAAACACAGTAAAAAAGAAGAACGATCTAATAAGTTTCAGAGAGAAGCCCAACCTTCTCTCTGCCCCCTAGGTCTGGTTTTCATCATTTAAGTATGTAGGGGAGGAAAATACCTTCGCTAATAGGTTGTGGACCTTGAAACTTTGACTGTAGACCTGTACAGTGCTAGATGGTGAGGGCAGGGAGGTGACTTATGCATTTACATATTTCTCCAACTCGTTGGGAGTTAACTTTGGAACCCGCTGGTAGTCAGGGCACCCCTTCCTTCCAAGGAGCCAAGCTAAGACAACTTGCAACCACTGTTTTGTCTTACACGGAGGGAAAGAACAATCAGCTAATGATTTACATTTATTTATGTGTTTTAAAAATATGGTAACCAGAATAAAAAGAGACTTAGCCGGCCTTTCTGTTCTTTTCATGTGCGCATAGAAAACCGATAGATGTGCCTTTGCTAACACGTGAATGGCAGTTGCTAGGTGATCCACGTAGTTTAACCTGTGAGTTTCAGATACTTAGTAATTTAAAAATGGACCTTACGGCCGGGGATTTAGCTCAGTGGTTCTGCCGCCTGCCTCACAAGCACAAGGACCCAAGTTTGATCCCCAGTACCAAAAGTAAAATAAAAATGGACCTTAAAGGATATGTAGCCTTGTCTTGCTGCTAAAGAAGGTTGCCTAGGTGACCAGACAAATAACAGAAATGTCTTAGAGGCTTCTCCACCCTAGGCCCAGGGCAGAATCCCTCCAAGCCAGCCGTATATTTGACTCTGTCAGTCTCTAGAGGTGATCTCTTTGGCAGGAAAATATGATCTAATTTGACCATTGACCTGTCTTCCTCCCTCTCTTTCAAAGAACTAGAAAGTAGTGGTTTAGATCTCTTGATTATTGGTTTTGCTATCATTGTTTCCTTCTCTAAACATGATTGTTATGGCTGAAATCCATTGTAACTTGTGCTTTTGGAGGACTATGGGAGTAAGGACACGAGTTTCCTGGGAAGATAGGATCCTGTACTGATAAAAGGTGGACAGTGCAGTCCGATTTTATCTTCTGGGCCCCTCTCCAGATGGCAGCTACCAGCCCCGGAGTTGAATCAACTTGGGGGATACCCTGAGGCATTGGAATCAAGCAGAGACTTACAGGGATGCTGGTTTGTTTCTCTTGTTTCAGATGGGAAACTCCATATCTGACCATCTCACTCCTTTGGAATGCATTCTTAAATATTGGAAAATGTTTGAAAGAGAAGTTTAGTATTTTCTACACCCATACATGCCTGCCTACCCCCTAGAGCCACTATTGATTATGATGGTATCTCACAATTAGAATTGTACCGTAAGAGAGAGGAAAGGTGGTCAGAATTGCCTGATGTTCAGATTTTCCTTGCATTAAGAAAAAATCCTCATTTGTATTCAAAATGTAAAAGTAAGCAGCAGGAAAATCAGCCACCTCTGGCCCCTGTGACAGATTTCCCGGCCCTGCCTTTTGGAACCTGAGGATGAGGTTTCCAAGGCAACCCTTGTGGAAGCCCACCTACTACTGCCGAGTCTAAGCCTTTCCCCCCTTGCCCTTTGGAGCCTGGGACCCCTCCTCCTTACTCTTTGGAGTCTGAGTGATGCTTCTGGGCCACCCATAATTAAAGCCTCTACAGGGCTGTACCCATCCTTAGCTAATTTTGTTCAAGCCCCTCTAGGACGATATCCCTTACAAGAAGTAAGTAGAGCTCTCAGACCTGATTGTGTCCACGTGCCCTTTTCTCTCAGTGACCTCAAACAGATCAAACAAGACCTAGGAAAGTTTTCAGACAACACTGACAAGTACATGAATGTCTTCAGGGGACTTACTCAGACCTTTGAACTGGACCGGAAGGATGTAAAGTTACTTTTAAATCAAACATTGACTTCTAATGAGGTACAAGCAGCAATACAAGCAGCCATTACATTTGGAGATGAATGCCATCTTGTTAACTATAGAGGGCCAGGACAAAGAGAGCCAGGGGAACCACCGATTCCTACTGAAACCCAGCAGTCACTACACAAGATCCCCACTGGCCTACCAACCAGACAGAAGTTTGGAATACAGGGCATCTTCAGTTTGTATTCTTGAGGACCTAAAGAGGAAGAGAATTAAGCCCTTCAATTATCTTAAATTATCACCTATTCAACAGGAGGACAAAGAACATCCCTCTGCCTTCTTAGATCACTCACAAGAGGCGTTGGTAAAACAGACATTCCCTAGCTCCTGACTTGGTAGAAGGAAAGACTGTTCTCAGAGAGAAGTTTATTCCCCAGTCAGTCCCAGAGATTAGGGAGAAGTTATAAAAGCTGGCTTCTGGTCCAGACAGCTCACTTGATGCCTCAGTGAGAATTGCCTCCTCAGTGTTCTATAATCAGGGATGAGAGAAGGCAACAGCCCTACCAGCAGCCCTTAAAGAAATAGACTCTAGGTCTCATTCTCGGGGCTCCAAGAAGAGCTTGATGACCAAGCCCACCTGCTACCCCTGCCGAAAGCCAGGCCACCTTAAAGGGACTGCCACGTGAAGCCCCCCGACCCTGCCCTACTTGCAAAGTGACCACTGGAGGTCGGACTGCCCTCTGAGGAGGAGGTCCCTGGGCTCAGAGCGTCCTACCAGCCGGTCCAGCAGGACTGAAGGGCCTAGGGCTCTCTCTCCCTTTTCCCTCTGGCCAGAGTCATCTCCACGGAGGAGCCCTGGATATTCAAGGCTACAGAGGGAAGTGTCCTACTGCTGGACACTGGTATGTGTCTCTTGGTCTTCTCTTGAACCCTGACCTTCCTTCCAGCTGTCATACATCAGCGAAAGGAGTGACTGGTGAGCAGGTGACTTGCTATTGCTGCTTGGCCTTGGGCCTTCCCAGTTGCACTGTCTGAGTGTCACTCCTGTAAACGGCCTGGGCTCTGCAGAAAACAGCCTTTGCTGTGTGATGTCAGGGTCTGGCCCAGGCCTGGGAGGGAGTGGGGACAAGTTTGTGTACGTGTCCTGGGACCTTAGTTGGGGGAGCCCACTGGGTCCTGGAAGAAACTGTCCTCCGTCCTCTCATGGCCCAGGGTGAGCTGGCCTGCAGCTCCATAGAGCACACTTAGTGACCCACAACCCCAGCTCAATGCGCACCCCCGAAGGATCAATATTCTGATCTACAGCAAGAGGGAGCTGATAAAGATACAGCTACGATATGAGCCTTAGCAGCAAGCCATCCTAGGTTCAAATCCTGTCTTTGCCCATTACCAGTGCAGAAGACAATGCTGGTATCGTGGTGGGGAGGTTTGAGTGTGTGTGTGAGGGGCGTGGGAGTGTGGCTCAGGGGTTGAGGGTGAGGCCCTGGGTTTGTCACACACACCACACACACACGTGGACAGAGCACTTACATGGTGTCAATGTACACATAATGCAACATTTAGTGAGTGTTCAATAAATAACACTGACTACTCAGTTTCCAGAAGTCGATGTGTTCTCCAAGGGCCATTTCCCCGAGAGGGACCAAGCACCTCGCGCCAGGCAGGCAGTGGCTCCGGAGCAGAGGGCAGAGCTGGAGCAGCTGTATCCCTGTCGCTCCGTCCCCCTCCCCCGACTCCCCCACACCTCAGCTGTGTAGACAACAACAGGATGCTCACGTGGGGCTGTGTGGTCTCAGGGCCTGGGTGCTCCTGATTCCCCCTGGCGCTGTTGGGGTCTTGGTCCACACCTAAGGGGGCTGCAAGGTCAGACGTGCACCTTCCCAAGGGTTCAGCCCCCTCCCTGTTCCAGGCAGGCAAGGGAACTTGCACTGCTGCAGGGTCCCTGCTCAGGAGCCAATGCTCTGCATCCCAGCCAGAGACCTGGGGTCAACCTGCAGCTGGGGCAGATCCCTCTTTTTAAAACCACTGGTGAGGGCTGGGGATTTAGCTCAGTGGTTCCACGGCCGGCCTTGCAAGTTCGATGGCCAGTACCAAAAAAACAAACAAAAGCACTGGCGAGGGGATGCTAGGGTGGTGGAGGAGGAACAGGGAACATGTAAGAACCTAAAGACCAGTTCCACTGATTACAGAAGGAAAATGAAGTCAATACGGTGCCACGGTTGAAAGGGAAGGGCACAATATCCATATACTCATGTACTATTTGCATTTTAAAAGTTTTTTGGGGGGGCAGCGTCTCAGGCTGGCCTCAAAACTCTCAGTGATATTCCTGCCTCAGCATCCTGAGTGCTGGGATTCTAGGCGTGTGACACCAGGCCTGGAAAGAGCATATTTTTATTAGCAAAAATAGAAATGAGCTTAGAAGGGGAAGGAAGTGACCCTGAGGGGTGGGAGCAAAGGGAGACCCCTGCAGGAACAGCCTCTGTCCTCATGAAGCCCGGCTCTTTCTGCTCCTGCCGATCACGGCCCGACTCCTGTGCCATTTGGAAGGGAAGATGAGGTCTTCAGTCCCTGTCCAACCCCAAAGGACCCCCCAGAGCAGACCCTCAGTGACCAGGGCGCCTTCAAGGGTCAGTGAAAGCATCCAGATCTCCAACTGGTGTGGAAGTGAGTGGGAAAAATCAACAGGAAGGAACATCCCAGACTGTCTAACTAGAGGGTTTGGACTCCCAAATTCAGGGATGATTTGGATAAGCTGTTCCTTGGAGAGCTCTACATTATTCTGAAACTCCACCTCCACCCCAGGCTAAAAGGAACACTTCCTACCAAGTTACCCATCGCTTGCTTCTGAGTCTTAGACCAAATGAAAATGTTCAGCTCTAGAGCTGGAAACTGACCTGGCCAAGGTGCCAAGATGAGACAGAGACCAAACAAGAAGCTGCCTTCGGGATCTCATCCAGTGCATGCTGAGTGGGGTGGCGCACGCCTTCGATCCCCGCACTCTGGAGAGAGTGCGGCTGAGGCAGGAGGATCGTGGGAGTTGAAGGCCAGCCTGGCTACATAGCCAGGCCCTGTCTTTAAAAAAGACAAAAAGTGTTTGTCTTTGTATCTTTATATCAGGCTGCCCTATTTAGAAACCAACATTTGCTCTTCACACCTTGTATATCGACCCCAGCCGCAGTCCTTGTGGCTTGTTTGCCCCCAGCCCTTCTAGGCCCTTCCCACACGGCCTCCCTCTTGACCGAAATGGACGCTCCTGGGAAGGAGGGGAGGGACAGATTTGGTCCCCGGCCTGCAGGGGCTCCGAGGCTGCCTGGCGCTTCTCTGCATCACGCAGGAACAATCATTACCAGGAGGGATTGGGGGCGCGTGTGTGTCACGCGGGCCACCTCCCGCCTCCTACAGGATTCCATGCGGGCCAGAAGGAGAGAGCTCGGGTCTTGAGCCCGGGAGCCAAAGGGGCAGTATCTGTGGGGGGCGGGAACCGCAAACGGGGAAGCAGGAGCCGGGTGGCGTCTGGCAGTGATCAGGCCGGTTTGGCGCTGAGGGCCGCGTCTGGGAGTCAGCGGTGGCTGAGATCAAACCAGCTGCAGGCTCCTGGGCCGCTCCCGGCTCAGTCTCGGGGTTTCCCGGGCTGTGAATTAGCCCAGTCACCGGGAAGAAGGAAGGGAACCAGCGTGCGCACGGGAGAGTGACGCCCTTCACACGCGGTGCCCTCCTTGGGGCTGAGGGGGGAAGGCGAGGCCCGCAGGTGGGGAGCAGGGAGCTGGAGCCGAGGCTTCTGAACTCCAGTCCGGCTGCCCTGGAGCGCTGGCTCCCTCCTCTGCAGGCAGCGGTCGCCCCGCAGCCGTCCTGGGGCTGAGGTGCCCGCGCACCAGGCGGCCCAGGCCCAGGCCTGGACACACAGCGGGGCGAAGCTGCGCACAGGGCCCCGCAGCCCGGGCCCCCCGGACCGGGTCTTCCGGTGGCTGCCCGGCTCAGGCCTCGGGTCTGGGCCCAGGAGGGGTGCCTGGACTTGGCTTCCCCTCTGCCGGGGCTCGGTGGGTGCGGCTGACACCCGTGGGTGTCCTGGGAAAGGCCCGGCCCGCCCCGCCCGGCGGCTCTGAGCACCGTCGGGCGGGGGGCCACGCGAGGGCAGGGCGGGAGCTGTCCAGCAGCCTGGCCCCGCCCCCACGTGGCCGCGGGCGCCGGCGGGGAAGTGCGGCTTCCTGCGCCCGGACAGAGGACGCCCGCTGCTCGCGATGGCCGCGCGCCCCCGCCTGCTGCTGGCCCTGCTCGCGATGGCCGGTGAGCTCCCGGGGCCCGAGGATCCGGGGGTCGGGCGGGGGATCGCGGGCCCCGGTGGCCAGTGAGGTTGCAGGGGCTTTGAGCCTGGATGTGAGGGCCCGCAGGCAGCCCTCCCCCCGGTGTCCTTTCCTTCCCCTCCTTCCGGACTCCCTGTGTCTCAGGCAACCCCCACGGGCCCCCCACCCCGATCCCCTCTGCTCCCCACAGCTGCCCTGCATCCCCAGGAGACCCTGGCTCAGCTTCTCCCCACCGCTGACGCCCTGAAGCCAGAAGGTGAGTACCCAGGGGCAGTGACAGGGCGCCCTAGGGCAGGAGAGCCAGCGCAGGGGCCTCTTGCCCACCAGCTTGGCCCCACCTAAAACCCCCACTCTTTCGGGGTTGCCTGTGATCTTTCTCTCGCTCCTCCTGCAAAGCGCGTGCAGCCTCGGGGTAGCTCCCAGGACAGGTTGGGAGGAGGTTCCAGTAGGGCGTGCGTGGAGGGACTGTGAGGCTGTGCACACGGACGGGATGAAGACTCCAGAGCCAGGATGCTCCCCTCCGCCACCAGTGTCTTGCTGGGGACATTCTAGGGGAGTCCTCTTGTTTGAAGACAGGGCCCGGGGTGTGTGGGTCTGAACATCTGTACCCGCAGGCAAGGCGGTGGACAGCTATGAGGCCAGCGCCCAGCTCTGCTGGGCCGAGTACAAGGAGCACATGGACTTTTTGGAAAAGGACTGGTGCAACTGGACCGTGATCAGCAGGTAGGACGCTGGGGGGCGGCCGGGGCACCGGGCCTCCTGGCACTCACCCGCCCCTCCGCCCAGGCCATACAGTGCCCTGCGCGACTGCTTGGAAATGGAGGCGGAAGCCTTCAGCCTGGGCTTCCCCAACGCCCTGGCCGAGAGGTTCATCTTCGAGACGCACCACCTGCACTTTGCCAACTGCTCCCTGGTGCAGCCCGCCCTCTCTGACCCCCCGGAAGACGTGCTCCTGGCCCTGATCGTGGCCCCCATCTGCCTCATCCCCTTCCTCGTCACTCTCGTGGTGTGCAGGAGTAAGGACGGCGAGGCCAAAGCCTAGGGTGGGGGCCACCAGCACCGCGCCCGCCCTCCCCCCTCCTCCCCCCTCCTCCCCCTCGCTGACCCTGCAGAGCCTGGCACTGGGGTCCTGGCACAAGTTGTGTAACCTTCAGAATAAAGCTTTGTTTTTGGCCCGCTGTCACCTTCCTGGGGAGGGGGCTGCGTCCTTCCAGAGTTGGTGCCAGGCACAAAGAGATGGGTGCTGGCGTCACCTGCCCCTCACCCACACCAAGGCTGCAGCCTTCGGCTCCTTCCTCCCGGGGAGGGGCCTTTCCTGCCCCCATCCAAACCCGGCTCCGGGAAGCCAGCAGGAAGAGACTCCCTTCCGGTCTGGACCGGCTGGGGCCTGGATTGGGGCGCTGGGGGAGGGGCTGGAGGATCGCCGCCGTGACTCCTGCGAGCAAGAGGGGAGGCTACCTGGAGCTCAGCCTTTCCCCGGAACGCCTCGGTTTACCCCGCGGCCTGGGAGGAGGAAAGCCGTCTGCAGGCATCACCCTTATCTCGGAGGACCTCAGGACGGAGGCCAGAGGCGGGGCGGGGGCGCCTGCCACGCCCCCTCCAGGTCCCTGGCCTTCATCCTACTTTATCCAGCACCGGTGTAGCCAGCCGCCCGGCCACACACTGCCCCCTGGCGTCCACTACGGCCAATAACCAGACGTGGATGACGGGGAAGAAGCTTGGCCCAGCAAGGCGCGCGAGAGGGCGCTCATCTCCATAGCAACCATGAGTTCGAAGCTGGACCCTTCCATCCGCGTCCCAGACATCAACATCTAGGGGCTCCCCGCCCTTCCCTGCAACCTGGCCTTTCCATATGGAGTGTTCCCTGGTCGCTCAGGCCGGGTTCTCACAGAGCTCCTCGGGGTGCAGCCCTGCTCCAGACACATCCACTGGCCGTCAAGGACATCTGTTCTGTCCTCTCCAACGCCTGTCTCCTGCAGCCCCTTCAGCCTCCTTAGAGACTTTCCTCTGTCTCCTTCCCGAGCCCTCGAGAATCCACGTCCCTCGGATATATCCTGTGCTTTCGGGAACAAGCCTACTCATTCTCAGAGACACATCCGTCTTTTTAGAGACACTGCTTCACCAAGGACATATTGATTTTTCAGCTGAGATAAATCTTTGCTCTTTTCCCATGAATACATCTGCCTTTTCCGAGTTGTAGCTACTCCTTGGTATTGCCTTCATGCATTTTACTATTATACATCAGGGGCCTGCTGGTGTAAGACCTTATGTGTATATTGTGCTGCAAAGACAGACTCCTGGGTTCCGCCCTCCAAGCGTTTCAACTGGTGGGGAAGTTGTCATGTGTCCAAGGAAACACAAACCCTGGAAGGAGTGATGAGAGAGCCACAGCCATGCCCCTACCCGCGAGAGTAGAAAGGGTGATGAACCAGGAAGTTATTACAGGAGTCCAGGCTTGGGAAGGTGAACTGGTGATGGGGAAGTGGAAAAGAATTACATGCAGGGGGTTTGATTAAAGACAGGGAAGAGAATCAGCAGGACTTGGATTTAAGGCAATGAAGGAGAAAAGTTAGTGGTGGGTGACTCAGACTTCGAACCTAGGTTACTAGAAAGAAGATGGCAGCAGTGACAGAAAAGGGCCCCAGGGAGGAGGGATGGTCCTGAGGAGAAGGACCCACAACGTGAGCTAGCAGTGGCAGGGGCCCTTGGATTCCAGAGACCTGGATGTGAGGGTCACAGAGGGGGACGAGGCTGGATCTGAAGTCGAGGCTTGGGAACCTTCTGCACAGAACTGGAATATGAACCCATGAGAGGAGTGAGAGCACTGTCCGAAGGTGCAGCCGAAAGGAGAAGGCTGAGGTTGGACTCCTGGGGAGCACTCACCTGTGAGACGAGCGAGTCTCACGTGTTGGCACGCTTGCCCACCATTCTTGCCTCTTTTTGGCGCAGTGCTGGACATCCCTTCCAGCAGAGTCTGTGCGGTACGATCAACATTCTGTCAGTGCAGTTCCTGAGCGCCATCCCAGAGAAAGGCAGCTCTTGAAAACATCTCGCTGTGGCCCCGTTCACCTTATTTCCTGGATTGGGCACCATGTAACTTCTGGCTCTTCCCCAAAATCAAAATGACCATGAAAGGTAGTGTTTTGAATCTATATGAATAAAGAAGCAGCCATGACAACACAACTATGGACAATCATGAGGGAGGACTTCCAGAACTGCTTGGGAAGGTGGCGAGAATGATGGGGTAGGGCCGGGGATGTAGCTCAATGGTTCCGCCGCCTGCCTCTCAAGCGCAAGGTCCCGAGTTTGATCCCCGGTATCAAAAAAATAAATAAATAAAAATTTTAAAAAATTAAAAATTAAGAAAAAAAATGATGGTAGCTTAGACTGGCCTCAAACTCACTGCAATCCTCCTGCCTCAGCCTCCCAAGTCCTGGCATCCTAGGCGTGGGCCACCAAGCCCTGCCAGGAGACCTGATCTACTTGCATTCTAACTGCGCCGCTCTCGGAAACTCATTACCCTCTTTGGGGTTGAACCAGGAGCCTCCCCAGGCCTCTTTCTGGTCCACCGGGCAAACCCCTGTAGAACAAGGGCCGGAGACTCGGCCTCCCTGCTTCTCACGGGGGGGGGGGGGCCGCGGGGGCGGGGGGCGGAACCTTTGCGCCGCGCTTCCTGCCCGGACGCGCTGAAGTTGCACCGGAAGTCCCTTGCAGAGCTTCCGGGTTTCCGGGGCAACTACGATGGCGATGAGTTTCGAGTGGCCGTGGCAGTATCGTTTCCCGCCCTTCTTTACGTGAGGCTCCAACCCCGGGAAGCCCCGCTGTGCCTCCCTCCCATAGCCGGGGCCCTGGGCTCAGCCCCGATGCTTCACTTGGGGAGGGGGAGAGGACCCCGCCTCCACCTCCTCCGCCCCCTCGCTTCTGCCCAGACGCGCCCGGGGCGAGAGCCGACCCCGCGCCCCTCTCCCCTCGCCCGCAGGTTACAGCCCAACGTGGACACACGGCAGAAGCAGCTGGCCGCCTGGTGCTCGCTGGTCCTGTCCTTCTGCCGCCTGCACAAACAGTCGAGCATGACGGTGATGGAGGCGCAGGAGAGTCCGCTCTTCAACAACGTCAAGCTGCAGCGTATCCTCCCGCGCTGCACCCTCCCCCGGAGCCCGGGCTGCGCTCCTCCCGCCCCGAGCCCAGGCAGTCAGCTTCCCGTTGGACTGGACACGGGGAAGAGCTGACATCCATTTGTCTCCCCGATGCGGCTTCAGACCCTCTAGTCCCGGGAAGTGTTGAGTGGTTGGTTCTTAGAATCGGTGCCCTGAAGCCGAGTCCCGAGCTTTAAAGCGGAGCCCTTTTGGCTGTTTGAATCTCCTGTCCTCTGGGTGAGGCTCAAACCTCGTGCGACCTTCAGTAGTTTTCTCTGCCCATGCCACTCCTTGGGGGAAGTGAGGGTCATCTATGTTTGGTGCCTGATGCATTCCCACAACATCTATGGAGAAAGGCTTGCAGAAGGCCAAAAGAGAGAGGATGAGCAATGGTAGTAGCTTTCATCTTGAAAAGTTCTTCCTTCTCATTGGAAGAGCCCCCACCCCCAATATCAAGGAAATGCTAATGCTATCTTGTTCAGAAATTGTATGCATGCGTGCGTGTGTTTGTGAGGGCAGGTGGTTCTCAGCACAGGACTGGCTGAGAATTTTTATCCAACCGAATTCCCATGTATGCCATTCCCTTAACCTTCAACCAGGGAAGCTTCCTGTGGAATCCATCCAGATTGTGTTAGAGGAACTGAGGAAGAAAGGTGAGTTCAGTTCCCCGATTCCTTATGTTTCTTCCTACTTGGGCTTCCCCAGGACAGGTTAGGACAGGTCTTTTGAATAACTTTTTCTCCTCACTGGCTTGAAGCCCAGTGTTCTGTACAGCAAATGGCTCGGTTCCTGCCCTCGCCCTGCCCCTTAAATTGAGACAGCTCTACTTGTCCCCTAAACCTGATGAGAGGTGGGGTAGGGAGAATGGGTGCCTTGTAGATGGTAACAGCAAAATCAATATAAATATAGAGTCTGCTGCTGAAAGCAGAGTCTCTTCCACTCTGACCCAGCATGGTATTTGCCTCTTTGTCCTTTTTTTAGAGCATGATTTCCTAAGTCTCTGTTTTACAGGGAACCTCGAGTGGTTGGATAAGAACAAGTCTAGCTTCCTGATCATGTGGCGGAGGCCAGAAGAATGGGGGAAACTCATTTATCAGTGGGTGAGACCCTGCGGCCAAGGACTAAGCAACGACCCATGGCAAAGGGGACTTTTCTCTCTGCCCAGCAGATACCTGGTGTTCCCAGACCACACTTGGCCAAATGGGGGAGCAGCAGAAAGAGCAAGTGTAGGCCTTCCAGGCAGTTGCCCTTCAGTGACTCAATTTCTCTGACTGCAGTGAGCCTCCCTTTCCAGTAGGAGGCCAGAGGCTAGTGAGGCCATGTTTAGAGAATGCGGCACTGGGAACCATGAGTGTGATTGTTGGCCGAAGCCTCTGGCCACAGGAGATAAATGGGGAAAGGAAGGCCAAAGCAGCTGGGGCCCCTGCTCTGCAGTGCACCTTCATGGGGCCGTCCCATAAACGAGACATTCTGAGCTGGTGTGGGTGTGGGGTCAGAATACTCTCCCTTCTTTCTTAGCCCCCACCAGCCCCACACATTCCCATGGGAAAGAGGAGAGGAGGAAGCATCAACAACCTAAATATAACAGACACCACCCATTCCTGAGCAGGGAAACCACCAGAACGCAAGGTCACTCTTCAGACACGTGAAGGCCTGTGGTCTAGTGGTTCCCAGTGTGTGTGCACACACACAAATATAGCACCTGTAGGGTTTGTGGTTTGGGGCCAGTGCAGAAGTGACAGCCCTGGTTTGGAAACAGGGACCAATCCTGGATGAAAGAGGTGGAGCTGCTGAGGTTGCCTTCTCCCAGGAGACACTTGGTCCTCATTCAGGCCTCATTTTCGGTGCCCATAGGTTTCCAGGAGTGGCCAGAACAACTCCGTGTTCACCCTGTATGAACTGACCAGTGGGGAGGACACAGAGGGTGAAGGTAATGCCCTTTCTTGCCTCCAGTGCTGGCCTCAGTCCTGGTCAACTTGATACTCAGCCTCCCATTGCTCTGCCACTGCATCCCTGCATCCTGTAATAGTGCATCAACCGCCTGAATTTGGAGAACTCCATAGTTTGTTTGCGGGTTTGTATGGGCAGTTTCCTAGGGATGGGGTCCGCCTGCCAGGTCTTCAGGGGTACGTGTGACCCATGAGAAGGTGAGAATTGCTGTGTCGATGCCAGCTGAGGCGCCAGCGTGGGGGATTAAACCTGAAATCAGCTCCCTTGCTGACTCAGGCTCTCTTTCACCCCTTATTCTCATAGAGGGCTCAAGATTCGTGGGCGTCAGCTGAAGGGATTGGGCCAACACCCCCAGCCCATTTAAATACTTTGGTTTTGGACCAGGCAAGGATTTGTATCCGCTTTGATTTTCACATAGGGTAAACACTGTCTTAGCTCGTTTCTCTCTGGTCCTGATCCCCAGAGTCACCAAAAGTTTGAGGCTTTCCTGGGGCCCCTGGGGGTGCCACTTCCTTCCCTGCCAGGCCCCGGCTGCCCCAACAGAGGCTCCAGCTGTTGGCTGTTCCCCCTGCCCTGCAGGCCTCTGCTTGCTGTGCCCACCGTCACCCCATGACTTCAGCTTGGCCCAGCGCTCTGGCTTCCTCAGAATGCCAGCTCCCGCTGGAGCCGAGCCCGCGGGGGTGTGGAGAGCCAGCCTGCCAGGGCTTGCCCGCCGCCTCACACTCCCTCCCCTGCAGTATCTGCCACATCTCCAGAGCCTAGGCCGGCCCTTGGCTCTCAGCCCGGTCCTGTCCAGCTCTGGAGTGTGGGATTGGTGCTGGATGCACCAGCACCTGGTGGGGTACTGGCTGGACTCGGTGTCAGGATGGCGCCTCCCGACCTGCACCAGTGTGCAGCCAGGGTCATGGAGCGCCGTCAGGGTCCCTCCTGTGTGGCCAAGTGTTTCTCCAGCTCCTTAGTAGTGGGGGAGGGGAAAGGCGGGGGTGGCATTTCCAGGAGCACCAGGAGGGAGAAATAAGCCTGACCCAGCCTCCTTCCCCCCATACCCCTAAGGAGGAGCACCAGAACTGGGGTGGCAGCTGCCATGGTGCCGGCGGTCTCCCCGCGCCCTGGCTTTGGGAGTCTCAGCTCTGAAGACGGCAGTGGTGGCTCTCTGCAGTCGCTCGGAGAGCTAAGTGTCCCTCATTGCCCATCTCTTCCTGTCCAGAGTTCCACGGGCTGGACGAGGCGACCCTCCTGCGGGCTCTGCAGGCCCTGCAGCAGGAGCACAAGGCTGAGATAATCACCCTCAGCGACGGCCGAGGCGTCAAGTTCTTCTAGCAGAGCCTGCCTCCCTGACCTCTCGCCTCCCGCGTTCCCAGGGCTCCAGGGTCCCCACAGACCAGATCTGTGACCGCAGCGGACTCCTCAGGGCTCCAGGCCGGCGGCTGGGACACAGGGATGGGTGTCCCCACCCACTTGTCTGTCTTTGGGTTCAGGGAGCCCAAGGTGCAGGGCGAAGGGACTCGCTGCTTTTGCCCTCCCTCCATCCCGCACGGCCCGAGCCCAGGTCTGTGAACCGGGGTGGCTCGGGTCCAGGCACACAGGCGCCTGCGCAGCCTCGCGTCTCCCTCCCTGCCCTTCTCAGGCTGGTGCCGGGGCCTCCAAGGGCTGGGGAGCCCTGGGTGCCGGCGCCTTCCCGGCGACGTGAAGAGCGCGGCCCCCACAGGGTGGGCAGTGAGGCGGGCACCGCTGATCTACGCTACTAAAATCTCAACTCCCGCTGCTTGCTGTGCTGTTACTGCCTGAGCCGGGGAGGCTGCCCGGTTCCACCCGAGTGAGCCGAGGGCCGGGCCAGGCCGGTTGGAGCAGGCCTGGGGGTGGGCTGTGTGGGGAGGGCTGATGGGACACGGCTGGGGGCAGGCGGCCCGCATGAGCCCCCTCTGCAACCCTTCTGGTCTGGGGAGGGTGGTTGTGGCCAGGGCGACATGGGGGTAAACCGGATGTGGACTTCGGTTTACTGGGGACTTTGGCAAACAGGAGGAAAGAAGAGGTGCCTACAGTGAAGAAGCAGCCTGGCTGCGGGCTAGGCGGGCTCTGGGTTGGGGAGGACTCGTCCGGGGCTGCGCACACCCGTTCTTGTGCCGACCGGGGAGGCGGAGAGGCCAGAAGCAGAGCTTTCCGCTGACCTTCGTGTCTGCCTGAGGCCGCTCCGGGCCACAGGTCAGGGGAGCCGGTCTTATATGGGGCGCGCAGGCCGCGGCCCCCCCCCCCCCCCGCCCGGAGACACTCAAGGTCCGTGCGGTGGGGGGCGGGGCCGGGGCGGGGCCACACGCTCTGCCGGGCAATGCGCACTCATCGGCCGTCCCTCCCGCCGCGCTCCTCGGGACGCCTGGCTCAAAGCGCTCGGCGGCTCCGATGTTGGCGCCCCGGGCCAAAGAGCCCGCGGACCCCATGTCCCAGAACGAGGCCGACCTGGGCTTGCGGCCCCTCGGGGCCTCAGGGCCGCCCCGCTCTGGGCCCCCTGCCCGCCGTGTGCGCCGCTTCTCCGGCCGGGCTGAGGCCCGGCCGCGCGCCTCGCGCCCCGGCCGCCGCAGCTCCGTGGACCTGGGGCTGCTGAACCTCTGGTCGCAGCCCTCGGCGCCCGGCCTCGAATCCCCGGACCTCGCGGACCCCGGCCCCGCTCGCAGCCCGCCGCCCGGCTCCCGGGAGCCCCCCGAGGGCGCGTGGCCCAGGGCCACCCCAGCACCGCCCGTGGATTCCGCGCGCCCCGAGCTCGCTGGGACCCCCGGAGGACCGGGGCACGGGGAGCCACCGCGGGTGCCCGACGGCGTGGTCCGGGAGCGACGGCGGGAGCTGGAGGAGAAGGAGGACACGGAGACTCAGGCCGTGGCGACGTCCCCGGATGGCCGGTACCTCAAGTTTGACATCGAGATCGGGCGCGGCTCCTTCAAGACCGTGTACCGGGGGCTGGACACCGACACCACGGTGGAGGTGGCGTGGTGCGAGCTGCAGGTGCGGCGGCGCCTCGGGAGGGCCCTGGGGGCAGGGGACAGGGACAGCAGCTCGGGAGGATGCGCCCTTCCTGCCACATGTCCAGACCCCCACACACACCGGCCAGGCTCAGAAGGAGAAACTGAGGCAGGTGGGGTGCGGTGGCCTCTTGGCAGGCATGGACTCACTGTGAAGTACCCACACAGATCCCTGAGGTGGAATAGGACTGGAGATTGGGCGGGAGCCAGTGCAGGGCTTGCGGGCCGGCCCAGTCTCCCGCCTTGCATCGGCTCTCCACCTCTTTCTTTGAGACTTTCCAGCGACCTGGCGTGGCGCCCCCTCTCGCTCCGCGGGCCCCGGGGCTGGGGCGCGGGTCCTGTCCACTGCAGAGAGTTTAGGGCGTCTGGAGTGGGCCGACTGCTGGGCCCGTTCACAGCTTTGGGGAGGGCACAGGAAGCCGAATCCAGTCCGGCCTCTCCTCCCACTGCCCACCTGGGCTTGCCCTTCGCCAGCCCAGGATGTTGCTTGACAGACATCGCTCCCACTGTGGTGTGGATGGAAGGAGCCAGCCAGCTGTGCTCGGAAGCTCCAGATTCACACTGGGGGACAGAGCCAGGGGGAGGGCCCGCCACTTTTTCCCTGGCGCCAACTGGCCCCTTGCTTGTGTCAGTGCCTTGCCCAGGCTCCAGGCCAGGTGCGGGGGGTGGAGGCGCCAGGAGGGCTCTGCCTGGTGTCCATCTTGCCTTGCACTTCCTCCAGGCCCTCGCTTTCTGTCTTGATCCAGCAGTTCCCAATTTCTGGGGCCAACCCCTCAGAGGCCCCAGATCCCTGCCAGCGGTCTGTCGGCTGCCTACCTCCTGCCAGCCCCACGGCCACCGGGCTGGCCACAAAGGCGCTATTGAGCTGAGGAATCCCAGGCTGGGCTGCATAACGGGGCTTGTGTCCAGCAGGGGGTCCGCGGCCGCACAGGATGGGTGTGTCCTGGGGCGACCTGAGGGGACCAGCCGGGGAACAAGGTCTGTTGCTGCTGTCAGGAGAGAGATGCCAGCGCTGGACCCCACCTGTAGGCTCTGGTCCTCACCCTCTGGGCAGCTCCACAAGCTGCTCTCTCCCGCCCCTTGGCTCCAGGCTTGATAGGACCTGTCCCCACCCCACAGACTCGGAAACTGTCCCGCGCGGAGCGGCAGCGCTTCTCTGAGGAGGTGGACATGCTCAAGGGGCTGCAGCACCCCAACATCGTCCGCTTCTACGATTCCTGGAAGTCGGTGCTGAGGGGCCAGGTTTGCATCGTGCTGGTCACCGAACTCATGACCTCGGGCACGCTCAAGACGTGAGCTCTGGGGGCAGGGGGGGGCGGGGCCCCTGCTCCCCTCCACTTCCACCACCCACGTGTCCCCACCGGGCCAGTCTCCAGGTCCCTCCACTGGGCTTTCCCTGCCTGGTCCTTGTCCCTCCTGCTTCCACCCCTGTGGCAGCCCCTAGGCCGGCTCAGCCCACCCTCTGCTACCTGATTTTCCTGCAGCCCAGATGCCGTCCCTGTCACAGATCCGACCTGTGACTCCTTCCTGAACCCTGTCAAGGATTCCTGGACCCTGGGAATAAAGTCCACAGTGCTGATCTGCTCTCAAAGTCCTAAAGACCCAGCCTGCTGTTTTTTCAGCCTAATTCCAGACAAACCCAGTTGCCAGTAGCTCCTTCCACCTTGCCCTGTCACTTGCCGTGTCCCTGCCTCTGAGCATGGCATCCTCTCTGCCTCGAAAGTCTCTGTCCTGTCCTCTTTTCACCCTTGAACTTCACCTCCTCCAGGATGCAGAAGTTACTTCCTCTCTGAAGCCCTGCCCTGACTCAGGACCATTACTCATTCCTTCCTGTGTTCCCCAGTGCCCATTCTGTAACCCCTGACTCAGTTTCTCCTGAAGGCCTGGCGAGGGGCCATGGTGCAGAGCCAGTGGCAGGGTGGGGAGACAGTCCTTTCCCATAGCGACCCTGGTGTCACCCACCCCCAGGTACCTGAGGCGCTTCCGGGAGATGAAGCCCAGGGTTCTCCAGCGATGGAGCCGCCAGATCCTCCGGGGGCTTCACTTCCTGCATTCCCGGGTGCCCCCCATCCTGCACCGGGATCTCAAGTGTGACAATGTCTTCATCACTGGCCCCACGGGCTCTGTCAAAATCGGGGACCTGGGCCTGGCCACGCTCAAGCGCGCTTCCTTTGCCAAGAGCGTCATAGGTGCATCCTCTAGGAGGGCCCTCGCCATGCTGCCACCTGGTGTCCGGAGAGCCTGGGTTTTCCCCACGTGTGGAGTGAGGGACCCTAGGGCGGCTGGGGGACTGTGGCACCCACAGGCACTCTGGGCAGTGGACATCGCTGGGTTGCCCCAGGCCTCCTGGCCCCTGTGTGCCCGGGTGGGGGGCGAGACCCAAAGGAAGGGACAGCAGCCTGAGCCCTGCTGCGTGCCCCACAGGGACCCCGGAATTCATGGCCCCCGAGATGTACGAGGAGAAATATGATGAAGCCGTGGACGTGTACGCGTTTGGCATGTGCATGCTGGAGATGGCCACCTCCGAGTACCCGTACTCTGAGTGCCAGAATGCGGCCCAGATCTACCGCAAGGTCACTTCGGTGAGGGCAGGGCTGGGAGCAGGGTCAGCTGCTTTCTTGGTTTCCTGCCCCAGCTGGCCTGTGGTTGGTGCCACTTCCCTCCCCAAAGACAGGACAGGTGAAAAGATGCCCTGGTGTGGTGGGCGTATTAGCACATGCCTGTACTTCCAACACTCGGGAGGCTGAGGCAGGAGGGTTGCTCAGAGTCTGAGGCCAGCCTGGGCTACATAGTGAGACCCTGCCCCCCCCCGAAAAGGTCCCCTGGTGCGCACTGAAGGGTATTGAGTAAGTGTGTGTGGATACACGCATTAGAATAACGTACGTGGCTCCCGAGGGTTTACACACTTGCATCCTTCCTCATCAGACCCTTCTGGTTACCTCTCGAGGTGGCCAGCAGAGGCCCTGCCCCATGTTTCATAACTGAGCAGCGCTCAGCAGGAGCCCTGTTCGGGTTCACACTGGCACCTGGCCTCTGTGGGGCACCACGGCCAGAACCCGACACAGGCCACAGGCCTCACACCTGACTGCTCCGCAGGGCACCAAGCCGAACAGCTTCTACAAGGTGAAGATGCCGGAGGTGAAGGGGATCATCGAAGGCTGCATCCGCACGGACAAGAACCAGAGGTGGGCAGGGCTGAGGCGGGAGGGGCAGGGTGAGGGACCGCGCTCACCCCTGTGCCCCCAGGTTCACCATCCAGGACCTGCTGGCCCACGCCTTCTTCCGCGAGGAGCGCGGTGTGCACGTGGAGCTGGCAGAGGAGGATGACGGCCAGAAGCCAGACCTCAAGCTCTGGCTGCGCATGGAGGATGCTCGGCGAGGAGGCGGGCGCCCTCGGGACAAGCAGGCCATCGAGTTCTTGTTCCAGCTGGGCCGGGACGTGGCAGAGGAGGTGGCCCAGGAGATGGTGAGCACAGAGGGGCGCCCTGGAGGCCCTCGCTGCACCCACCCCGTGTCCTGGCTCCTCCTCAGGCCAGTGCATCCTGTGCTGCCCTTCCCAGGTGCACTGATTCCCCGTGCTTCCTTTCTTCCCTTCTTGTTCTTTTGCTCTCCTTCCTCCGTGCTCAGAACCATCTACTCCAGGAAGGCTGCTCCTCAAGGCTCAAAATGAAACGTGGGTCTTTGGTTACAGTGGGTCTTGGGTTTTCTTTCTGGTTTTTTGAGACAGAGTCTCACTACTTAGTTCAGGGCGGCCTTGAACTCACTGTGTAGCCCAGGCTGGCCTCCAACTGGCAGCAGTTGTCCTGTCTCAGCCTCCTGAGTGCTGGGACCCCAGGCTTGTGCCACTGTGCCCTGCCAGACTGTGTTTAGAGTGGAGATTTTAAGTCAGATCACCCTGCTGCAGCTCTTCTCCTCACCCAGCAGAGCTCAAACTGCAATGAGCGAGGACTAGAATGGATGCTGGCGGGAGGGCGACACTGATGTGGACCTAGAAGAAGGGGCGGGGGTGTGGGGGCCAGCTAGGGGGCCTGGTGGGGGAAAGGCGGAAGTAGGGGTCCTCCAGAGAAGTGGGGGTGCCGAGGGCGACCAGACACCCCTCACTGTCACCCGGGGAATGGCTGGGTCCGCTGATGGCCCCCCTGCGCGCTCTGGCGGCCCCTGTGAGGTGTCACCGTGGCCCCAAGCTGTGTTCTCACCCCCACCCAGGTGGCCCTGGGCTTGGTCTGCGAGGCTGATTACCAGCCGGTGGCCCGGGCAGTGCGAGAGCGGGTCTCCGCCATCCAGCGCAAGCGCGAGAAGCTGCAGAAAGCTAGGGAGCTGGAGGCCCTGCCACCCGAGCCGGGACCCCTGCCACTGACTGTCCCCGTGGCTCCAGGTGCCCCTGAGCCCGAGGAGCCGGAGGCCGACCAGCACCAGGCTTTCCTGTTCCGCCACGCCAGCTGCTCGTCCACCACCTGTAAGTCCCTGGCCTGGGCCTCGGTCCCAGAGCCCTGGCACCTGCTCCCCACTCCCTGAAGTCCAGCCGGTGACACCGCCACCTAAGCCACCTTCCGGCTTGGGAGACCCCTGCCCCCCACAGCTCCCTCCTGGCCCAGCCAGGCCCCCTCCCCTGCCACCCCCCTTTGCTTTTTGTTTGACCCCTGGCCCCCACCAGCGGACTGCGAGACTGACGGCTACCTCAGCTCCTCTGGCTTCCTGGACGCCTCAGACTGTGCCCTTGCGCCCCCTGGGGAGGTGCCCTCCAGCCCTGCCGAGCCCCGGCTCCATCTGCCTCCAGTGAGTGGGGGTCATGGTGTGCAGGCCCCGTCCCTGGGGGTCCCCCGCTCTGCACACCCTCCCCGTGGTGTCCTCCAGCACCTCAGTGCTACCTCCCTGGTCCCCAGTGGCCCTGGCCTCACAGACCCATCTCCTCTTTCAGGCTTTTGCTGTGTCCATCCCACGTTCCGGCCCCGGCAGTGACTTTTCCCCAGGGGACAGGTATGCTCTGATGTGAGTCAGGGTGGGAGGCAGAGTAGGGAGCTCTGGGGTCCTGGGTCCCCTCAGACACCCGTGTCCTTTCCCTTTGGCAGCTGTGCCTCAGAGGCAGCGTCAGGCCTCAGCGACCTGGGCGAGGGCATGGGGCAGATGCGGAGACCCCCAGGGAAGACTCCCCGGCGCAGACCCCGGTCCCGGCTGCGGGTCATGAGTGTGCGGAGGGTTGCAGGGGCTGGGGAATGGGCAGCTGTGGGGGTCGGGGGAGCGGAAAAGAGGGGTCAGGGTGTGACTGGCACCCGTGGGCAGCCAGTCCACTCGCAGGGCCAGACTCTAGGGGCGGAGTCTGCTTGGCTGGTGTGGGGTGGCTCCCGTGACGGTGGCCAGGACACAGGCATTGACCTCCCCCTCGCCGACTTGGAATCTGAAGGTCTCAGACCAGAATGACAGAGTGGTCGAGTGCCAGCTGCAGACCCACAACAGCAAGATGGTGACCTTCCGGTTCGATCTGGACGGGGACAGCCCGGAAGAGATCGCGGCTGCCATGGTGAGGGGCGAGAACAGGGGCTGGGCTCTCGCAGTGCCCAGCTGTGCTGAAATGCCCCGACCCGGCAGCACTCAGCCTGCAGCCGCAGGACGCCTCTGCCTCCGTCCTTGTCCCCAGCCGAGACATCTCAGCACAGGCTAGGAGAGTGACACTGGCTGTCAGCAGGGTGGGTGGGACAGCGGGGACCGGGCAGGACCTGCCCAGGTGGGGCAGGGGAGAGGGGGTGCCCCGCTGGAGGCGCAGCCCGGAAGAGGCTTCCCAAGCAGGCACGCGGGCTGGAAGGACGTCAGGGAGGCCACTGTCACCGCAGGAGGGGACCCCGGGGAGCACTGGGGGACATAGGGGTGGGCAGGCAGAGGGGCACAGGCTGCAATGGTCTGAAGAGGAGGACAGTGTTCTGTGGCGAGAAAGGGCTTTATGGAGATCTTTGCACCGTGGGGACCTGAGAGCTGGGTGCGGGTGAAGAAGACAGGTTATGGGGGGCGGGCAGGGCTGTCTCTGGAAAACTAGCTGCTCGGAACCCAGGGAGCTGCTGACGTAGTGCAGCACAGGAGTGGGTGCTGATGAATAAATACTTGCTGAGCTGATAGGGAGTCAGGGAGAGGGATGTCGAGGGCAGCTTCCTACTTGAGGAACGAAGAGGAGCAGGCACTGGCCGAGGGAGGTCAGGGATGGAGGCAGGTGGATAGGCAGGATGGAGCGCGGCAAGGTCCTTGGTAGCCATGGGCCTCGGGTTGGGCTGGAGAGAGGTGGAGAGAGCAGGCCTGCAGAGCCCAAGCCCAGAGGGCACTGCCATCTGTCCCTGTCCTAGGCGGGAGGGGAGGCTAGGCCATCGGACGCAGAGCTGGAGACAGCAGCAGGAGTTGTAGGGGTGGTGCAGGGTGCATCCTGGCAGGCCCGCTCCAGCTCTGTGAGGAGGGCTGGTGGAGACCCTCTGTAGTGGGGGCGGAGGAGGCAGCCTGCTGGCGATGGAGAGAGAGGAGGGGACTGACGCCAGGCCACCTCCCGCCAGGCCACCTCCCGCCAGGCCACCCTGGAGTTTGGGTGGCTGGGTGCTCAGAGGTCTGGTGCCCGGCATCAAACAAGCCCAGGGCTCACGCCTTCCCTCCTGACCAGTGCACTCCACGGCTATGGCTTCTCACCTCCAAATCTTTTGTTGTTCCTTGGGGTTCTAGAGGGAGGACAAATGAGGAACCGAGGCCCCCCAGGTCCTTGCTCTAAGCTGTCGGTGTCTTCTCTGCCCTACCGGTCTCCTTTCTCCCTGATGAGCAGGGTGCAAAGGCCAGGCGTGCAGGGTTCAGGGCTGAAATTCAGGGGAGCTGAACGAGTTCATTCCCTCCCTGTCCTCCTTTCTTCCCTCCTTTTCCCGCCCTTCTTTGGAGCTGGGGCTGAGCCCAGGGCCTCCTGCATCCTAGGCCGGCACAGCACCCCTGAGCGCACCCCCAGCCCTTGGGCAAGTTTCTTATCTCCTCTGAAGCCAGCGCCTCCTAGGTGCTAATTCTTGTTTGGCAATGTTCTGACTGATAAGGTAGAGGGCACCCCAAAGGACTCAGGTCCAGGCCCAGAGGCTGCAGCGCCGTCCCAGGGTTGCTGTCCCTGGGGTTGTGTGACCTGGGCTAGCCTTTTTGTTTTGATTGTGATAAATGAAAACCACATACATCAGTTTTTACCACTGTAACCTTTTTAAAGTGTACAGCGCAGCGGTGCTCACTGTATCCACGTTGTTGTGAACAGATCTCCAGGCCGAGCTGCTGTCTCCATAACAGGGCCCCCCCCAGCAGGGTTTCTGTCCCCTGTGTGGCAGGCAGCAGGCACTCAGTGCCCGTGGAGTGGAATGTGGCATTCACCACTCATGGCCTTGTTTCTGCCTACCGCCTGTACAGACGGGCCCTCTGTGTACACGTCAGAGACCCGCTGCGGGCAGGGATCGTGTCCACAGCACCAAGGGACAGCACCTGGCTTTCGGCAGACCTGGGTTCCAGCCCTGTGCCCAGGGCCCCCGAACATTATCTGTTTGACACTGGTTATCTTCTCCCTGACACGAGGTGCGCGTGAGACCCCAGAAAGCTGTTGGTGGTGAATGTGACGCTCGTGCCAGGCACTGGTGCGTTCAGGACATGTCCCGTGACTGGCTTTCCTTCCAACTGCCCCTGTCCCCACCCACGCTGCCCTGGGCCTGGCCCACAGCAGGACCAGTGAGATGACCGAGTGCCCGCCCGCCCACCCCCCAGGTGTACAACGAGTTCATCCTGCCCGCCGAGCACGAGGGCTTCCTGCGGCGCATCCGGGAGGTCATCCAGCGGGTGGAGATGCTGCTCAAGAGGGACTCTGGCCGCCCCGCCGAGGCTACTGAAGACGCCCCGGGCCCCCAGGTCAGGCCCCTCTGGGGCCCTCTGCGAGTGGCCCTGTCCCTTCAGGTCTTCTGCTCTGGGACTGGAAGACAGAGGCTCTCACCCCACTTGAGAGAGAGTGTGATAAAAGCTGTGGACTCTTGTTCTAGAAACACCCGTTGAATGAAAACTTTTTAAAAAAAACTATTATCAGCTAGGCATGGAGGGGAACGCCTGTAATCCCAGCACTTGGGAGGATGAGGCAGGTGGATCTGTGAGTTCAAAGCCAGCCTGGGCTTCATAGTGAGTGCAAGGCCAGCCTGAGCTACATAGCAAGACCCTGCCTCAATGGAATAAAACAAGACAGCCCCCCCAAATAGCTCTATTATCTTGAAATAATTTCAGACGTGGGGGTGGAAGTTGTAAGAACTGCACAGAGAACTCCTGGGTCGCTTTGCCCGGATTCGCCCGTTGCTAAGAGTTTTCCAACATTAGCTTTGTCTTCCTCCCCACTGTGTGCGTGTTACATACAGAAACAGATGCATATTTTCTCAGCGCCGCTGGAGTAATTTGCAAAGCCCTGCTCTTTAGCCTGAGTCCGGCACCTGGGGCACCTGCACTTTCCGAATCCCAGAAGCGCCCGGCCTGGGAGCTGGGTCCCAGGCTTCCCCATGGTGACTGTGGCCCTTGTCTCCCTCAGGAGCAGCTGACTCCCCTGCCTGCCCTCCAGGACCTGCCCCGAGGTGTGTACCAGTCCCGTCTCCATCCGGCCCACCCTCGGGGCCCTCTGGGAAGGGATGGCGGGACTGCAACCTCACGCTGCTCCCTGCAGAGCTCCAGAGCAGCACCAGCCCAGGACAGCAGAGCTGGGCTGCCTTCTCCACCTCGCCGCCCCCGCCCGGCACGCCCTCGTCCCCGGCAGCCCCCGTCTTCCCCGTGGCTTCTCCCCCATGTCTCGCCGGACCCTGTGTGTTCCCCCCCACTTCTGCCCAGCTCCCCGGCTCTCCCTGCTCCGTCCCCTCCCCCTCCCCCTCCCCCTCCAGTGCAGTCCAGGCCCCATGTGCTCTGCTTCCCCTGGGCTCTCTCCCCAGCAGCCCCCAGGGCCCTCTGAGCCCCCCTCCTCTCCCTCTCTGTCCCTCCCCTGCCACTGCAGCCCCACTCCTTTCCCTGGCCAGTGCCTTCTCTCTGGCTGTGATGACCGTGGCTCAGTCCCTGCTCTCCCCGAACCCCGGGCTCCTCGCCCAGTGTCCTCCAGCACCCCCTGGCCCTCAGCCTGGCCTGCTGCCTCCACCTCTGCTTGCTCCTGGAGGCCAGGAGAACCTTTTGCCCTATGTGGCCAAGGCCGAGGCAGAGAGTGAGGTGAGGAGCCCCGAAGAGGTGGGAGCCCAGTCCAGGCCACTTCCCTCCGCTCCCAGCCACACCTCACAGGCCTCCCCGAGTCCTACATGGCCAACCCTGGGAGAAGCCAGGCTGGCACCCATCTCGGAAGGTGAGGCCTCAGACCCATTGTGCCCTGCCCGGCCCCTGCCCCCAGCACCCTGTGCACCTGTGGGTCCCCCTCCTTCCTCCCCGCGTCTCCCCGCAGAGGGGAAGCCCCAGCTCGTGGGGCGCTTCCAGGTGACCTCGCCCAAGGAGCCCGCGGAGCATCCTCCCATGCAGCCAGCGAGCCCTGCTCTCCCCAGTTCCCCCAAGCTGCCAACCCCTCCGCTGAGCCCAGAAAGCTCAGACACCGAGGACAGTGCTGGGGGCAGGCTGGAGACCAGGGAGGCTCTGGCTGAGAGCGACCGCGCTGCCGAGGGCCTGGGGACTGCGCCAGAGGACGGGGATGTGGGGATGGAAGCCCACTCAGGGGACAGCCCGCCAGCCCTGGCCCATCCCAGCCCGGTATGGGTGAACTACTCGTACAGCAGCCTGTGCTTGAGCAGCGAGGAGTCGGAGAGCAGCGGGGAGGACGAGGAGTTCTGGGCCGAGCTGCAGAGCCTGAGGCAGAAGTGAGTGGGGAGGATGGAGCAGGCAGCGCAAGTGGCACGGAGTTCAGGTGCCTGCTTATGCCCGCTGTGTCCTCAGGCACCTGTCCGAGGTGGAGGCGCTCCAGGTGCTCCAGAAGAAGGAGATTGAGGACTTGTACAGCCGGCTGGGCAAGCAGCCGCCACCGGGCATCCTGGCCCCGGCCGCCATGCTGTCCAGCCGCCAGCGCCGCCTGTCCAAGGGCAGCTTCCCCACGTCCCGCCGCAACAGCCTGCAGCGCTCCGAGCCCCTGGGCCCTGGTGAGCCCACAGCTGCCCAGCCTCGGTCTCTCTCCAGATGCCCCATCCGTGGTCAGGGACCAGTGGTCCCTTACCTGGCTCTCTCGGTCCTGCTCCTAGGGGTCATGCGCAGGAACTCCCTGAGCGGCAGCAGCACGGGCTCCCAGGAGCAGCGGGCAAGCAAGGGGGTGACGTTCGCAGGGGATGTTGGCAGGATGGTGAGGGTGGCCGAGGGAGGGGGCGTCCAGCAGCTTTGCCTTCCGCCCACCTGGGAGGCTTCTTCAGCGCCCCTTTCCCCTGCAGTGAATTCAGAACAGAAGCCAGCGTCTCCCCCACAACAGGGCCCACCATGGCGCCTGTGCTCTCAGAATTGGATGCTTTTCTGACCAGCTCAGCTCAGCATGGACCCAGGACTCGGGACATGGGGTGTGGAGTGGAGGGTCACACACATGGGGACTGCCACGTGGAGGTGGCAGGTCTGTAGCCCAATCTTCATTTCACCCCGGCTCTGGCCAAGGGCCAACCACTACACCATCCCACCCAAGCCCAGAGGCTTCTAGAGGGCTCACTCCCAGCTGACACCAGATTAGCAGCAGCTAATAAATACTGAGATAAGGACTGTGAATCTGTTCCTGTCCTGCCTTAGGACCTGGGGCAGTCCTGGGTGAAGCAAGGGAGGATGTAGGAGGGACTCTCCTCTCACAAGGGTCATGGGTGGGCCAGGCATCATGGCGCACACCTGTGATCCCAGCACTTGGGAGGCTGAAGCAGGAGGATTGCCACAAGTTCAAGGCCAGCCTGGACTAAATGGTGAGATCTTTTAAATAAACAAAAGCAAAACAAGGGGCATGGGTGAAAGCTGCCCAGCTGTCCAGCTTCCTACTGGCAGCTCATGAGGACACTGCAGGCTCAGTGATCTACCGGGCGAAGCAAAGATCCCCTGCAGCCCCACTCGTCCTGTGTAGATGGGCACCGTGGAAGTAAAAAATACACAGGCCACTTGTCTCTCATCCTCCTTCACCTACTGAACTAGGGGTGGGAAAAGCAGTAGGGTTAGGGAAAGAGTGTTCTTGAGGGTAGAGGACAGAGGAGTGACCTTCCTTTCCCTAAGACCTGGTTCAGTTTCAAACAGCCCAGTGATCTCTCCTTAAATCAGGTGGAAAGATCTCATGCATGGAAAATAATTCTAGTTAAACATTTACAGCTCCCAGGGGCAGTGCCACCACTGTGGCTACAGCAGTGGAGCTTTCCAGCACCCCACCCAGGGAGCTTGGCTCCAGGGCAGATGACTCAAGTTTATTGTTCTTAACTGATTCAATCTTTTCCAGTTTAGCCTCCAACACTGCAGGGAGCTGCCATGCCCACCCCCATCACAATTGGGCCCCTGGGAGGTGAAGGGGTAAATCACAAACAAGGGCTAGATCACTGTGCACAGTGCGCGGGAAATGACTAATGTCACACTAAGTAGCCAGATTCAGTCTCTTGCTTCTTGGGCCCAACTGTGGTCCAAAGTTAGTACGTAGGCCAGTGATACTGTGCGAAGGCATCAGTTCCCACAGGGTGATGGCATGTGAAGGGCTCCACATGGCTCTGGCAGGTTGAAGACAGTCAATGTCCAAGTTCAGGGTCCTGATGCTCTTTCAAGAGCTCGGGCTCGGGCAGCCTTGGCCTCGTCTTCCAGCTCATCAAGGAAACGCTCCTGGGATATCGAGTAGATGGTGTAACCATCTGAGGAGGCGGGCTCAGGAAAGCACTCGGAAATGAACATTACCCTTCCCTACCACGCTTGTTAAGTCTCCCAAATCAATGATTCCAGAGTTCCTCCCTCTGCTCTTTTTGAACCAGGACCTCAACTCCGTTATTACTACATCATACGAGAAGAACAGTTTAGGAATAACAAAGTTTAGGTCAGGCGTGGTGGCAAAGGCCTGTATCCCAGCACTCGAGATGCTGAGACGGGGGATCTCGAGCCTGAGATCATCCATGGCTACAGACCTTGACCCTGGCCCAGTCTGGACTACAAAGCAAAGCCTCGAAGAAGAAAACAGCAAAGAGTTAGGCATTAACCCCATTCTACCCAAACACTAGACGTTTGGCTCAACTCTCTATGCGCTTCCGTTTCCCAGCCCTCGACCTCGTATGCGGTACAGACAGGATGGATACAAATGCCCAACACCAGGGCCCCGATGCCCAGGCCGATCACGATGTTCCGGGTCCGCCGCTGTGGCAGCGTCTTCTGCCACTGGGCGAGCTGCACCTGCCTTATGGACTGCAGCTGCGAGGGAGTCAGTTTCTCCTGGGTTGGGTCAATACGCTGAGCGAATGGGGCCTTTCCATCCTTGGCGTCCCGAGTGTCACCAGCACCCGATGCCGCCATGTTGCCGCTCTACCCGGCGCAGTCGCGGGGCTCTCTGGGAATAGTAGGCCTTGGCCGCCGCGAGGGACTTTGGGAGTTGTAGTCCACATGCGCTTTCCCGTAGAATCGCCGCTCTTAGATTGGGGGGCGGGACAACGGGAAGGGGCCGAGCCTTCTCATTGGCTAAGGGGTCGGCGACCGTTAGAGCGGGAAAAGCCGAGGGAGCTCGACGCCGCCGCGGAGGATATCGGTTTCCCTCAGAAGTGAGGGGAAGACTGAGACGCGGCAAGAGGCTGGGAAGTCCCCAGACGGCTGCTGAACATGGACAGTGCTGCGAGGCCCAGGTCGGCCTCCCTGGGTGACGTCCAGTTCGGAGCAGTGGCCACCGAGACCATCGAGGATGCGCTGCTGCACCTGGCCCGGCGGAACGAGCAGGCCGTCCGCGAGGCCGCGGGCCAGCAGGGCCACTTCCGCTTCCGGGAGCCGCGCTTCGTGGGTGTGCCGTCCGGGCGAGGGGCTGGGGTCACCCGGAGAGATGTGTTTCTATCTTCCACTTTTAGTGCTTTTTGTTTTGGGTAGTATTTTTAAATTTAAATTTAACCACTGTGCTAAATCCCCGGCCCTAAATTTAGTTTTTTTTGACAAGGTCTTGTTGTGTAGCTCAGGCTGGCCTCAAACTCGAGGCATTCGTCCTGCCTCAGCCTCCCAAGGGCTGGGATGACAGGCGTGTGCCACCAGCACCTACCCTTGGTTCTTTTTTTTTTTTTTTCCGTACCGGGATCGAACTCAGAACCTTGCCCTTTGGAGGCAGGCGGGTCACCAGTGAGCTTCATCCCCGCCCCCTTGGTTCTTTAACATATGTTCTTATCTACGTTTTGTGGAATAGAAAGATGAAATAGAGATCCAGTGCAATCTCTGGGTGCTAATAGGATAAACACCAAATGGTAGAGACTAGGACTGTTACCTAAGTGACGCAGGAGAGAAGGAACACGTTTCGTGGGCAGTGATTGATGACTGGAGGATGCACTAAAATCACATTAAGAGGGAGAATCGAGGGTTCTGTTCTGTTCCCAGGAGGGAAAAGATGAGCGTGCAAGGGTTAGACGGGGCATGATGATGCCATAAGAGAAGCAGCTGGCGTGGTCGTGCCTGCCTTTGACCCCAGCCTGAGGCAAGCGGAGCTTGAGGCAAGAGAATCACAAGTTCAAATCCAGCCTGGGCAACTTACCACAATCCTGTTCGAAAACTAAATAAAAAGGCCTGTAGCTCAGTGCTAGAAAACTTGCCTAACTTGAATGAGGCTCTGGGTTCAATCCCTGGTACTACCAAAATAAATCAAAAACCTAAAAACCGGGGGTGGGGACTTAGCTCAGTGGTTCCGTCACCTGCCTCACAAGTGCAAGGACCCGAGTTCAATCCCCAGTACCGAAACAAAACAAAAAACCCTAAAAACCAAGGTGACACACACACTACAAAAATAAAGAGGAAATGTCACTTCCGTTTGTGAAGACAATTGCTTTGGTTTCGGACTTGGTTCAGGCCCTTGAAGGATATCTAGAGGAATATTTCTAGCAGGTTGTTTAAAAAGTCAGCAGAACTAGAAATAAGAGTTTGAGTTATCTTCATAATGATATTGTTGCAACTGTGGCAGAAAAAGAGCTCCTAGAGAGCAAGGGATTTAGCTCAAGTGATTCCCCTGCCTGCCTTGCAAGCACAAGGTCCCAAGTTCAATCCCTGGTACCAAAAAAAAAAAAAAAAAAGCTCCTAGAGAGAAAAAAGAAGAGAAGCAAGCCAAGGACAGTTCCTTGGGGAGCGTTTTGTGTACACTGAGTCGGAGTGGGAAGGAGACTGGAGAGGACAGTGAGATGAGTGGACAGCAAGGTAGAAGTAGTACCAAGGACACTTGGAAGCTGACAGGGAGGTTCCAGCAGTGTCACTGCTGCAGGAAAGCCCAATGGAGTGAGGACAGCTCTGCACATTGGTGACCTTTGAGGGTCATGTAGCAGTCTGCGAAGGGTGGAATGCATATGACGGAAAATTATGGAATAGATGAGGAAGTGGAAGCCACCCAGGCTTTCAAGAAAATTGACAGCAAGCCAGGCACGATGGTGCACACCTATAAACCCAGCATTGAGAGGCTGAGGCAGGAGGATCACTGTGAGTTCAAGGCCAGCCTGGGCTACAGAGTGAGTTCAAATCTAGATGTAGCAAATATAAAAAAAAAGTGTAGGGGGCAGGAATTTAGCTCAGTGGTTCCACTGCCTGCTGCGCAAGCGCAAAGTCCCAAGTTCAATCCCTGGTACCACCCCCCAAGAAAATTGAAATCAAGAAAATTTAAAACAATAGGAGGGAGGGAGATGGAGCCCTCGTTCTAGAAGGTGGAGGACGTCGTATTGTGTTCAGTAGTAGATCCAAGTATGTTTGGGAGGCAAGGTGGCACCAGTAGAATGGGAGAGGTGTAATTACCACCTATTAGTCCCCCAGCTCAAACTCTGTTTTCTTGGAAAATAAAAAGACTCCCCAGATAATTCAGATGAAAACCAAAACAAAATCAAACAGCTGGAAAAAAGAGAGAACACAAAAGTAAGCCTAGAGTCCAGCAATAAAAGGATTGGTAGTTACACACAATTATGTGTCCTAGGACACATTGCTGAGCTGCTTGGATGAATTCTCTCCTGGGTGGGATGATACCAGCAAGGCTGTGGTCTGTGTTGGACAAGGTTCTGTGCATGTATTTGATGTGTGTCAGGTAGATTGTTAAACTGTCTTCTGCCAGGTTGAATTTTTTTTTCTGTTTTCAGTACTGAGGATTAAATCTGGGGTCTTCACACTGAGCTACATTCCTGGCCCTATTTGTTTATTTGAATGAGTCTTGCTAAGTCGCTAAGTAACCAAGCTGGGCTCAAACTTGCAATATTCCTGCCTCAGCCTTCCAGAGTGCTGGGATGACAGGCATGCACCACCATGCCCAGCTGCTAGCTTGACTTTTTTTTTTTAGTACCCGGGATCAAACTCGGGACCTTGTGCTTATGAGGCAGGTGCTGGAACCACTGAGTTAAATCCCCGGCCCTTGACTTTTTAAAAATAGCTTTTCTTCTAAGAAAGTCAAATTTCACCTGAAAACATGGTAATCTGACTATATGTGTATAAATCTGAGCATCTCTAACCCAAAACTCTACATTCTTTGAATGTCGACATAATGTTGGATTTTGGACCATTTCAGATTTCAGATTAGAAATGCAAATATTCTTTTTTTTTTTTTTTTTTTTTTGGTACTGGGGATCGAACTCGGGACCCTGCACTTTCCAGGCAGGCAGCAGCACCACTGAGCTAAATCCCTGGCCCCTTTTCTTTTTTTTTTTTGAGACAGGTCTTGGTATGTAGTTCAGGCTGGCCTTGAGCTCACCATGCAGTCCAGGCTGGTCTCTAACTCATGGTGATCCTACTGACTCAGTCTCCCGAGTCCTGGGATTATAGGCATGTGCTACCATGCCTGGTGAAATGCAAATATTAAAATCTGAAGAATGGCCCCCACCCCGGCCAAATTTGAAACACTTGTGCCCAAGCATTTCAGACAAGGCCACTCAACCTGTGACTCTTTGCTGGTCAGTGATAAAAGCTCTCAGCTCTTCAGGCGCTCTCTTTGTAGAGAGCTGACATCTGCCCCGTTTCCACCCTCCCGTACTGCAAGCTAAGTAGAATTCTATCTGGGACTGTCCTTTCAAAGAGAAACAGGCGGGCAGAAACTATGCCAAAGTATCCTGCCCTTCCCACCTCCCCAGGGTTCCCTTCCCCTTCTGTTGGGCCCATCCTGATTCAGGGGCTGTTTCTTCAGAATAGCCCACTCTCAGGAATCAACTTGCCCCAGGGGAGAGGCCCGGCCACCCCAGGGTACCCAGCCTGCTGGTGGTGGAGAGGTGGCATCCAGTTGTGGGCCCAAGGATTTGTAACGAGCTGGGCGTGCTCCTGAGGGTGGCAACTAAACAAACAGGGTCATAAGGACCTGAAACTGCAGGAGGCGCCTGCCGGGCCCTGCCAACACCTCGCCGAAAGCAGAGTCCCCGAGCCTGCCTTGAAGCCGGGTTCCTACTGTGTGGCAGAGCCTTCTAGGCCACCTGGTGTGTTTGTGTGTGACTGGCCAAGCCTTTCATCAGCACACCCCGCAGGCAGGCTCTGGTCACCTAGGGAGGCCATGTGCCTGCCTCTGCTGGCCGATGGCCGTAAACACAACTGAGCTCAACTCTGATCTTCCAGGCTCATCTTTCTTACCTCCTGACCCTTCTCTCCCAGCCCCATCAGGGCTTTTATCCAACGCCAAGAGCTCACAGAGTGGTGTGGGTTGCACCTTGTGAATTAGCCTCTTCTTTCCTGTTTTGGCAGAGTTCGTTTTTCTCCTGTCTGAACAATGGTGTCTGGAGAAATCCGTGTGCTACCAGGCTGTAGAAATCCTAGAAAGGTAAAGCCCTGAGCAGAGGCCTTTCGAGTGGCAAGAGGCTAACACACTGAATCAACCAGAGAGGACTGGTTGTCCTCCCACAAGGTTTGGCATCTCACCCCCCTTTATTTGCAGATATAAATGTCTTAGACAGCATCTGATACCCGGGAGAGGGAAGATAAAGCCCAGCAATTGGAAGCACTGGCTCCCTTTATTTGCAGGTGTGGGTGGTTCACGGCCCCTCCCTTCCTTGCAGGTTTATGGTCAAGCAGGCGGAGGACATCTGTGTGCAGGCCTCGGTCCAGCTGGGGGACAGCAAGTGGACAGAGGCTCCAGACTGGAGGGTTCGGAAGGAGCGGCTCTGCAGCAAGTTTGTCCTCCGCCTGGTGTCGTGTGTCCAGCTGGCCAGCAAGCTGTCTCTCCACTACAAAGTAAGCAGCGGGGCTGCTCGTGGGCACCCAAGTGTTAGCAAGAAACCAGCTCGTGGGAGGTGGCTGTGGGAAGCCCATGCCTCGGCCAGGTGACATCGCTCAGGTGGAAATTCCAGAGAGCGATTATGCTCTCGAGCGCACCCCCTAAGCACACACAGTCACACAGAGGCAGTAATTAAATAGCCCCAAGTCCTGTTCCCAGAGTGTAACTGCTGGACAGATGCCACCATCCACAAAGCCACCTCTCCTTCCCTTGGTCTCAAGGACTGTTTACATAAGGTGCCCAAATTGCCAGCCTGCCTATCAGCATTAAAGACAGACATTACAGGGAGAAAAGGCTAAATGTAGCTGCGTCGTTCATGCAGCCAGTATTCGGGGAGTTTCCGCTATGGCCAGATGCGGCACTGGTACAGGACTGCACCACTGGGCACCAGGACTGCAGGACTGAAAATATCGATGCAGGGGAGGAATTCATTATCAAATGGGAAAGGGTTGGGCCAGGGGGCTGGGAACGGCCCACAGCAGCCGGGTGCTCAGAGAAAGCAGATGGTCTGGTGGAGCCTAGGAAAAGACAGGACAGTTAAGGAGGCAGGGAGAGGAGGGGAGGGAGGAAGTGAGACCAGGGACAGGAAGCTGAGAGAGGAGGGGCGGCAAGCTTGGAGACTGTAGGTCACACTGCTCACGCAGAGCAGAGCATGTGGGACCTGGCGCTGAGGGCGCGACCTGTGTCCCCCCCCCCCCCGTCTTCCTTTGCTCAGGTCATCAGCAGTGTCACAGCCTTGCACTTCCTCCAGGGCCTGGGGCTCCCTTACACTAGAGAGGAACTGCTGGACTCAGAGCTGGACATCTTGAAGTCCCTGGACTTCCAGATAAACCTCCCCACTCCCCTGGAGTATGTCGAGGTGCTCCTGGAAGTTCTAGGTACCTTATGGGGTCAGGAACATGGCTGGAAACTTTCATAGAAGGCAGCAAGACGTGCCCAGGGCTTTGGGAACAGCAGGCAGAACCTGCCAGGGAGGCAGAGTAGAAGGCTGAGGTGCCCTGGTGACCGAGGTGTCCCCTCCCGCACTGTTAGGGATTAAACAGCTCAATGGCTCAGCAGCTCAGCGGCTGGTTTCCACGTGGGCCCTATGGCACTTTTCTTATTTCGGGGTCAGAGTAGATTTTCAGGACAGGAATAAGATAAGAAGAACAAGGACACTGGCATGGTACATATGCTACAGATGCAGGCTTCTTTACTGTTCTTTTGTCCTTTAAAGCTGACTTCCCTCAGAAGTTAGCAGCCAGGAAGCATGTCAGTAGTGGAACAGCCCTGCATCACACCCATGCTGATGGCTGGAAAAAGGACTCAGTGCCCCACTGTGTCCCCGTTCTATCTAGGGTACAACGGCTGTGTGGTCCCAGCCACACAGCTGCACGCCACCTGCCTGACCCTGCTCGACCTGGTCTACCTCCTGCACGAACCTGTGTACAAGAGCCTGCTGAGGGCTGCCGTGGGGAACACCACGCCCAGCCAGCTGCAAGGGTACGGGGCTCCTCTGGGAGGGCAGCAGGGCAGAGCAAGCACATCGGTGGGACCGGCCTGATCTCATCAGCTTCCGCTTGCTGTATCCAGTCAGGAAGGCTCTGAAGGCTTTTATTTTTACCTTTAAATTACTTCAAGTAGTTAACATACTTCCTAGTTTTTCCTTTCTAGCTGTTTATAACTTGAAATTACTGGACTGCTTTTTTTTTTTTTTTTTTTTTGGTACCGGGGATCGAACTCTGGTCCTCGCACTTAAGCTTGTGCAGCAGGCGGTGAAACCACTGAGCTAAATCCCCGGCCCTACTGGACTGCTTTTATAGTCACTTGGAGAAAAAGCCAGTCACCGTGTTGGAAGTTGGACAAAAGTGTTTGATTACTGTAAAGTCAAGCTGTCAAAAGCCTCACCGTTGCATTTGATAGGGAGTTAGATAGGCAGCACTCGGCCAGGAGGCTCGTGTTCAGTGCCAGCTGAGTGGCAAGCAAGGGGGGGCAGGTCAGGTAGCCAGCACCTGACCCCTTCCAGTCCGAAAATCCAACATGGACAAGTCCCAGTTGAGGTTCCAGGACCCTAGAACTTGGAAGATCATGTTCCCTTCCAGCTCTGAAATGAATATGGCTTTAATCACTCAGGGAGAAGTTTAGTTCAGTGGAGGAAGACTTCATGCTGCTGGCAGCAGGGGTCATTGCGGCAAGTGCTTTCATCCAGAACCACGAATGCTGGAGCCAGGTAGGCACTGTGGAGAGGCCGGGCAGAGCCCACTGCAGGAAAGTGTTTCCCCATCAGCCCACTGAGAGCCACTGTGCCAAGCCCAGGCTGGGATGGCACAACAGGGTGGGGATGAGAAACTGGCAGGGCTGAAACATGTTTTCCAGCTTTCCTCTTCAGAAATGAGAGCCTGTGTTGACTGCGTTTGGTTCTATTTATGATTATGACCCACTGCTGTGTGAAGATTTAGTGAGTGTAACCTCCCAAAAGAGATGTCAAGGCCCAATACCTGCCTCGCACTTCCCAAAAGTGTCTCCAGCGGAGGGGAGGTGCGGAGCGCATCTCCTGCCAACACCTTGGGCAAAGGTACCCTGAGTGGTGTGGCCACTGGTGAGCACGGGGTCTGAGCTCATCTCCCCTGAGCTTTGAGGGAAATGAAGTTCACATCTGGCTGGAGAGAACATCCCAAGCAGTGTGTGTGCATGTGCACTAAGACACGCCGAGGCCACTGTATAACAGAAAGCCGTTCTGATCTGCAGGTCTTGGGACATCTGCAGAACATCACTGGCATTGCCTCAGGGAGCATAGCCGAGTTCTCTTACGTGGTCCTGACCCACGGCGTGGGAGCCAGCACCCCAGGGCAGCAGCCTGTTCCTCCCGGGCAGGAGGCCTGGGAACGAGGGCTGCCACTGCCATCTAGGCAGGCAGAAGCCACTGATGCCAGCGGCCTCCCTCTCTGATGCTCACGCTCAGGCTGGCAAGGGCAGCCTCTGGGGCACTGCATGGTTGCCAGGTTTCGGCCTTGTTCGGCGCTAAGGGAGGAGCTGAGGGGGACAAGTGTGTCCTTTGTCACATCAGACTAAGAGTGTCAGAGGTGGGCCAAGCTAGACCCAAGATATTGGTGCATTTCTGTCCAACAGGCTATTCCTGGCTTTCCCTTAATTTCATGGATAGGGAACATCAAACCCAGAGATAAGAATCAACCAGGGTCCCCAGGAGACTGGTGACCTGGACGGTCACAGAGGTCGCCTGTTTCCCTTGATGTAGTGTCTCTGTTGTCACTGAGAGCCACACAATATGCTTCCTCTGCAAAAATATGTTTCCACTAGGATGTTGGATTTTTTTCCCGTTTTTTTTTTTTTTTTTCAGTACTGGGGATCAAACTCAGGACCTTGCGCTTGGGAGGCAGGCGCGGTGCCATTGAGCTAAACCCCGGCCCCTCACGAGCTTTTCAAAAACGAAAACCAAACCATCTTTGTGTTTCACCAGAATTGCCAACACACTTGCCCTTGAACTCATTTCACCCAGAATGCAAAGTAAACAGTGGACCTCCGGCTACCACACTGTAGCAAATCTTTTATTACAATAATGCAACCTCTTTGGAACGTCCCAAACAGACCAGACTCCATCCTTGCCACACTACAGGGCAACGCAGGGTTCACTAAGGAACCCAGGGAGGAGAGGGTTCAGCATCAGGCTCCTGGGATGGCATCACGCGATCGAATCACATGGTGGCTGGGCAGAGAGGAGACGTCATTTCCCGTGTCATCCAATGTGCGCCTCACATCTCAGTGTCTCAATGGAGACCAGTTTCTATTCCATACTTTAAGTGCAAGAAGTTGACACAGATAAAATCCAGTGAAAATACATCAACTTCAATTCAACTCAGTGAAAAAAAAGGAAAATTAAATTAGTTGTTTTTCAGGGAGAGAAGGAAAGGAAGGCATGGGGATGAGTCAAAACTAGGCCAGGGCTGGTGGCTAGAGTGCCAGCTGTCACACCACAGCTTAAAATAAAGCCACTTTTGTGGATTTTGTCTCTTTTGGTATTGTAAACACGTGCTGTTTACTATCACCCAAATTTAAAACTTTTTTTTTGGCAAACAAAACAAAACTTAGGGCCGGGGATTTAGCTCAGTGCTGCTGTCGCCTCCCTTGCAAGTGCAAGGTCCCGAGTTTGATCCCCAATACCAAAAAAAGACCCCAAAAACCAAAAAATGAACCCTTGAAGCCTTTCAGGCAAATATCCCCTAAGGAAAGAAGTCATTTGTTATAAAATTGCGAGGAAACCCAGGCAAGACCCCACTTCAGATTGGTCAGCATGAACTTGAGCGCTTTTGTCCACTGCTCCTCGGAGTTGAACTGAGTTTTGATGGAGTAGGAGCCCCCGCTGCCGCCGGTGTCCTCGATCTTGCCTTTCTCCACGTCCATCCTGCAGGTGGCACAGAAGCGCAAGCACTGTAACTGAGCCCGAGCCAAGGCAGCGTGGCCAGAGGGCAGGGTGGGGACGGATCATGAGACAGCTTGGCTCATGTCATCTTATCTAACAGAGCTCTTGGCAGGGAACCTCAGTGTGTTTTGGATTTGCTTGAAAGTCCAACATCAGGAAGGCCGTCACAAGAGCCTCCTTGTCACTGCGGAGTGCAGGGACAGGACACACACCCAAACAGATGAGAAGCCTGCAGGGGTGAGGGAGGGTCACAGCCCTCGTCACTGTGTTCCTAGGCATCTCAGAGCTCACGGGAGAGAAGTCTCTGTTTCAGGGTGACGGGGCCAGCTCAACCTTCCTGTCTTGGGCTAGTTTCCACCCACCTGGGCTCCGGAGAAACATTCCTGTACATTTCCAGAGGCTGCAGGGGAAAACCTTCCTGAAACTGGACAGCAGGCTTGAGCTTCACACCAAGAAAATCCCAGAACCACCTACCACTCCAGAACCCAGCAGCGGCACCCTGCCTGCCTGCAGTGCTGGGTCGGCCTTTGCCTGCCGGCCTGGCATCGTGAAAGTCTGCTCTGGGTCTGCCTCCCACCATGGGCACAGCTTTGCCCGCCTTCTTGTGTCCTTTCCGTGCCACTCAGCCTGGTCCCACTGTGAGTTCCCTCGGGGTGGGGGTTACTGACCTGTACGGAAGGCAAAACCGCGTCTCGCCCTTCTCCACCTCCTCTTTGAACTGCTGCACACAGTCCAGGAAAGCCACCATGGCATGGTCGAATTTGTTGTCCCAGAAAAACCGCAGCCCCCCAGAACAGTACAAAGGCAGCTCCTGTTCAAGTGAGAGAATGACTGTGGTCAGGTGAGCGGGGGCTGTTCCCAGTCCTATTGGCTGCTCCAGCCGTGCTCCGTGTCCACCAGAAGTAACTGTGCTGAGGGACACAACCTCTGTCCCACGATGGCAATAACCTCAGGCAAATCCAACACCTCAGCGCTGTCTCCTGGCAGGGGGAAGCACCAATCCCACCTTGCATAGTCCCTCCTCAGGCAGGCCCACGTGGTCTCTGCTCGGCCCCACCCTTCTCAACGGCTGGAAAGCCCGACTCCTCTATCAGCCCCTCAGAGCTATGCCCGCGCAAGGCACTGGCCCTTTATGGGCAGTTCAGTCCGAGAAGGAAACTGGCTGATGCCAGTATCAAAGGTAAACACTTTTTAATTTTTTTTCAGTGCCAGGGATGGAACCCAAGGTTTTGTGTATGCCAGGCAAGCATTCCCTGCTGAGCTACACTCTCAGGCCCAAAACAAAATCATTTTGTTAGGAGGAATAAGAATTCTGTCATCTAGGGAAGATGAGGCCTCCCTCAGTACCTTGGATTTGTCTGCCAGGGACTCCAGGTATGAATGGTTTCCATAGGGAACAAGTCGATACCTAAAGTGAGATGAAGAGAGCTGAGTGCATGGCCCTTCCTCAAGCAGTTACTGGCTTTTCAATCTGCTTCCTAGCCAAGGACTTCCTGCATTATTCCCGGCCTTCTTTCCCACCTCCCCATAGCATTCATGGTTAAAAGACTTTGAGGCTGAGTGTGGTGATCCCAGGGCTTGGGATGATGTGGCAAGAGGATCTCAAATCTGAGGCTAGCCCAGGCTTCGTGAGTTCAAGGCCAGCCTGGACCATATAGTAAGACTTGTCTCAGAAAACAAACAAATAAATAAGCAAAAAAGACTTCATAAAAAAGTTACATTTATTATATAGATGTCTGGGGGCCTTTCATGGACTAGTATGTTTGGGGTCAGATTTAAAAAATAACAACTAAAGCTCTCTTGAGGAACGCTGAGGTTTTGTAAGGCCGGGACCACTGCTCCCGTCATGCAGCTCAGTGGTCACCCCATCAGTGGGAAGAACCCCGTGACGGAAGGACAGAAAGGGGCCACCACCCACAAAGACCTCCATGGAGGAGGAGCTGCGCCGAGCCGCACATGCCTCTCGGAGGCCGTGTCCCTTACCTCTGAAACTTCAGACCCATCTTATTGGCCAGGGCGTGCAGCAGCAGCACTGTCTGGCCCCATGCGGCGTTGATCTCATTCCACTCCACAGGGACGCTGGGCAGGCGCCCCAGCCTGAAGTTGTTGATGGTGCCAAACTGCCCGCTGTGCCTACGGAGGAGTGCGGAGGGTGGGGACGTGGGTTCCCGACACCCTCCTTGGGTGCAGGTCATGTGCCCAGGCCCCAGCCATGCCCGAAACCAGAGGCCCCTCCCTGCTGCTCAGTGTCAAAGCAGAAACCAGGGTGTCCTCACCCAGCTCCCACCCCTCACAACCTGCAGGCTCAGACTGTCCATGTCTCTCCACTCAATGGGACTCCTCTTTTCCTGCTTTGCTTCCCAGCAGCGAGTCCTAACTTCCTTCCCCAGCCATTCTCTCACTGCAGGTAAAGCTATCGAACACAAGTAAAATGGAACTGTCGCTTCCCTGCCTTGAACACTTCTACTGCTCGCTCTGCCTTCTGAATCAAGTCCAAGCCCCATCCCAAGCCCTGCGAGCTCCTTGAGGAGCTGGTCACTCTCTACTGTCACATCTGCCACCCCTCCACACTGCATCTTCAGTCACAGCAGACGCCTTCCAGCTCTGACTTCACTGCACCCCCTTCCTGTTTTTCTTTTTTTTTTT